AAAAATGCCGAACTCTTTGATCACACCAGCTGCACTGTAGTTGACGCAACATAACAGACGCTAGTGTTCAAAACTGTCAGCATTATTTTTGGGTTGGTGTTTGTGTCGCACTTTCCTTTGCAAACCTCTACTTGATCATATGCTACTATTACCCCTTTCTTTGTAGAAATGCTGCGTACCGCTTTCGTGTTGGGCGCCACTGGGGCCGTTGGCACGCAGCTAGTGGAGGCTTTGGTGAAATCAAAGCAGTTTAAGAAGATTGTTGTAATTGGAAGAAGAAAAATCCCACAAGAGAATGAATCTATAGTGAGCAAGTCTGTTTATCATTATTTTTTATTTACTGTTTCTTTCGTATGAGGAAAGTTTTTAAGGAACAAGTGATTGTGAATTTTGATGAAATTGAGAAGCATCCTGGTGCATTCAAAGACGCGGATGTAGGCTTCTGCGCACTTGGCACGACTAGGGCCAAAGCAGGGAAGGTAAGTAAGCTTTAAAAGTTTTTATGATCTTTCTATCTATCACCATAGTGCTCTTCCATCCATTCTCATCGTGTAACAAATGAAATCTGCGCCTTTGCAAGGCAAGCTTTTTCAGGAAGGTTTTTACAAAGTTGATCATGACTACGTTGTAAACTCGGCAAAAGTGGCGAAGGATCAAGGCAAGCTCTTGATATGTTTAAGATTACTTCTCGCTTTTTCTCACGAATTTAATAATATGCCTATTCTATACGTCTCACTCAGTCATCTCATTTTTTTAGGTGTGAAGGAGTTCATCCTAGTTTCTTCTGCTGGCTCCAATGAAAATTCATTCTTCCTCTATCCGAAAACCAAGGTAAATCAGATTCTTCAACGCGTGTTGCGTTCTTTAAGATTGGTCAATTTTGAGATTCTTATTTTCAACTTAGCGGAAATTCAGATGCGTTTTTCTTGCAATTTTCATTTTTTGGTTATACCAGCTCAACAATTATATTTAAGGGAGAAACTGAACGAGATATTGACGCTCTTGGCTTTGAAAAGTTTCTTATCATGCATCC